TGTGTGTGTGTGTGTGTGTGTGTGTGTGTGTGTGTGTTTGTGTGTGTGTGTGTGTGTGTTTGATTATAATAATTATTGGGAGATGGACAACTTACCTGACAGAAGTTGGGGGTGTGGCTCTTCGTGAACATGACTGGCCGTCTCGTCAAAAGGATTTATGGAATTCTGAAGAGATGACGTTGTCGCTTCCTCCGCTTCGTCCACGTCGCTCCGGCCACACAATGGAAGTGTCTTTCTCTCGCTAGCACCGGGGTCGTTGTTGTTGTTGTTGCTCTTATTGTTGTTGCTGCGGCTCCCGGTGTTGTTATTGTTGTCATTGCTTATACTGCTGTTTTTCTTGATGTTACTGTTGCCGGTATTGCGACTCTTGCGGCTGCTGCTGTGGCTTCTTTTGCTACGTTTGCTGCTGTTGTTGGTGTACGGCGACTCGGCACCCACACTAGTTACGGACTGGCTCTCCGGCGGGCTCTTTGGTTTGTCCCTCGACGAAAAAGAAGAGAGCGTCGATGTCCTCGTCTGGGACGTCCCAGGTGGAGAAGCAGCGTCACCGTCTGACGAGTCTCTCTGGCCCGGCGGTTTGCCACCACCAGATTTCAACAAACGCCGACACTCCACAGACTTTGCTTTCACCTTCTCTTTCTCCTCAGCCTTTGGCCTCTGCTTCTTCTCTTCCTCCTTAGCCTTAGGTCTCTGCTTCTTCTCTTCCTCCTTAGCCTTAGGTCTCTGCTTCTTCTCCTCTTTCGCAGGCTTTTGTCTCTGCTTCTTCTCTTCCTCGTCAGTCTTAGGTCTCTGCTCCTTCTCTTTCTTGTTTTTCTTGATTGCCACTGTGGGTCTCATGCTCTCTTTCTGAGTTCCTTCAGCCATAGCAAGAACTGTCTTAAAGTCCACGGGCTGGGGGACGCCGCATTTGTTAGCGTGTCTAACGATTGGCTTCTTTGGTGGTTTAGCAGGTTCCAGGTTCGTTTCTCTAGAAGATAACGGTGGCAGACTGTGCTTCCTTCTGCTGTCATGACTCCCTGACGACTGACTGTGAGAAGACCTGAAACGTTTACTGCTACTACTGCTGGTGCTTTGGTGAGTCGACTTCCTTTTTCGACCGGTATTGTTTTCCGTATCTGAGTAGTCTTTCTTCTGGGCTCTCTCCCACGCCTCCTTGGCCTTCCGAGCTATCTCCTCTCTTTTTCGTCTCGCTTCTTCCTCGGACAGCGTGCTATATAAGACATAGAAATCGCTGTTGCTTTCTTTAATCTTGGGAATTCTGTACCCCTCCATTTTCAGCTCTTCCCTCCCCTCTGTCGTTCTCCCTTCTGTTTGACTTTTCTGAAAGAACAATAAAAAGACAACCGATTTAGTAAAGGAGAGAAGAACTTGAAAGTAAACATAAAGAAAACAAAAGTTGTACATTATAAATGTCATTTGACTCATTCTCTAAAGACTGCCTTTTCGCTCGCTTGAAAGGGGTGGAGGGTTAATTATATCCCTTACAACGTTACATGCGGGCCCCTTATTCTGTTTCCTTCTTTCTGTGGTAAGCAGGGACAATTCAAATGAAACGTTCCGTTACAAAATTAAATGCGGCGACAATCGAATCTAAGCATTCCAGAATGCTTTGCCCACGCCATAACTGTAGTTATTTGTGTTACGACGCGGTGGAATCAGACGCTCGTCGATTTGGGGGAATATTGAGTTATATAAGTATCGTCTTAGAACTTGTTCATTTGTCTTGCTTTTGGCGAAAAGAATACCCGTCTATCTTGAATAGAAGTCAAGATATTTGCAACTGAAGGAGGTGGAGGTCGGCTGGTGTCTGAGATAAAATTACATGTATTAGCGAGAAAATGGCCGCCAAAGTTTTGTGACTTCGAAAACTTGAGTGTCCTTGGTAAGTGCAAATTTACATTTCCTGTGTCTCTGATCAACGTTTTAAAGTAAAATCCGCACAAAAATGTTTTTTTTTAAAACGTACATAGAAGGTATTGAACAACAAAAAAAACAAAACAAAGAATAATTCGAAAAAAAATTTCAACGGCAGAAAAATGCGAATTTCCTTGATTATATTATATTATTTTGACGATCGCCTGACGTCTTCACACTGCCCC